ACACTACTTGTTTTGCTCTAACCATAGCAATGCTTAATCCACACTTTCCCATTCCACTACACAGTCCACAAAAACCAACCTAAAACCTTGCACACTCCTTGCGCTATACTATTACTCCGACATTTTTACTCTCTAACTTAAACTTCACTCTTATTGTTCAACAACACATTACCCACATGCCATCCACACTTTGTTCAGTTCAATTATCCCCGCCTTATACACTTTGAATTAATCTCCACTCCTATTTCCTTGTTATCTCCCATTGTATACTATTATGTTGTGTCCCCTTGCATTCTTTTGCTTTGGATACGTCCCTACATTCTCTCCCTGTCTCTGTTTACCGCTGACCGTTTGGCGCTCTCGCCTGCTGCATTGGCTGCTGCTTTGCGCATTTTAGCTCGCTTTGTCATTCAGAATAGAACTCTCGCTATAGCCATTATTAATTTACTAATAATTAACTTTAGCATTTGTGCAGGATACTCTCTACATCGACTGGTGTGGCCCCGTGTCCCTGCCCAGGTGCTGACTATAGGTGTTTTACCATTGTAAAGCAATTGGTTTTGGGGCAGCTAGCTCTTCTTAGTGTTTTCAAAATTCGTGCTTCTTCTTATGTAGATTCTCTCTGTTCAATGCTAGTGATGGCCCCAGAGGGTTGGTCCTTACCGACTCTCTCTTCTGCTATCTTCTACTATTCTTACTATCTTTTTCTTCTTTACTATGCTATTGCACTTACCTCTTTTCCTGGGAGGTTCTGTCTGCTTTATGGCACTTTGGCTGTGAGCCACGTGCCTCGTGTCTGTCGCCAATGTCTCCCGGTGCAGGTTGCGGCAATTTCTTCTCTCTGCTCTTGGCCTGCTTGGTGTGTCCGCAGCCACTCCGGTGGGTGTTTGCATGCCATCTACTCTTCTCGTTTCTCTATGTTTATAGTCTATCATTCTCTTACTCAACCTGGGCACCTCTATGATATACTTGCCTGAGCCTCAGGACCAGTGGCACTTGGTGGATGATGGGCTCGCCCTCCTCTTCTCGCTTCCTTTTGGCTATTTAAACGCTATGTACTGATTATTTTCCCTTTTTCCTAAAACTCTTCGCTCGTCAAACTGCCTTTTCTAAATTTCTCTGTCGACAAGGTACCTTCGCTCTGCCGCCTTCCGCCCCTTCAACTATCGTACATGGACTCCGGGTACTTCGTCTTATTTCTGGACGGGCGTTAGGTGCGATGTTCATGCACTGGACTCACTCGTCCTGCTTTTCGGGGTAGTTGCTTTGGTCGGGTGGCCTCCTCGACTGTTAGGCACTCCCTTTCGTTTTTCTGGATAGTGGCCTCAATCCCGGTACAGGTATCCCTCGGTAGATCGGCAGCGGTGGTTCTGCTCCAGGGTTGTCGTCGGAGTTGGCAACTAGCTTCCATCTTGCCTCCCTTGGCCTTTTTCCACCCGTGGGTGCCTTCCTTGGCGTGGCATTAGCGGGCCGCTGCACCTATCCCTGCTGCTTTTAGTCTTTCCTTTCTGTGTGTCTCTCTCCCTCTCTATCTGGCTCTGTAGGACCCCTTCGGTAGTCCTCAGCCAGGTGCTCTAACTCTTCGTTCTGACTAAATTTCAAATTTATAATGTTAAAGCCACTCTCCAAACTATGGCATAAAATTCCCTACTAAACTTGGTTCTACATGGTGGTCTAGTCCAACACCTACCATATTTGGTCCCCTATTAATTGCCTTTTTATATTCAATTTTGCTTCGGCCGGCCCTTTGGCCTAGCTTGACATGTGAAGTTTTACTGGGTTTCCTTCATATCTTATCTCCCAAATGGGGTCAAGCTCCCCCCCTTAAAGTCCTCCCAGTAGGCATTAAACTGTCTTGCTGACTTGGTCACCAAGCCAGTAACCCAATTCAAAATTTTAACACTTATTCTAAATCTGCTGGATCCGAACCTGTGGCTTTACCACTGCTGCTTTCTTTTCCACAGTAGCTCTGGACAAGCCAGAAAAACTAGGTTAGGCTATGTTGGTCACTAATACCCTAGATCTATCCTATCTGTCTTTGGTTATCATCCTAGTCTTCTTTCCTACCCCATCCAGCTTAGGTTATTATATTATCTCAATTCCACCCTTAAATTAACTTCAAATTCAATACATACAACTGTAAACTATTCGACACAAAAATCTGGTATTACTAAAACATCATAACTATCAATTTTAATTTTAATATATAAAAACTCATCACTGAATTTTAGACCTTTCCCAAACATGCTTGTTACTAAATATTTTAGCCTTAGCTGGATGGTACCTATACAATACCTCTGCTACATATCTAGCACTGGTTAAAACTAAACTAGTAATATCTACTAACAAGTAACATACATAATCAGTTTTTCGGCCTTTAAAAATTTTAAATTAAATTACAACTACAGACTCCAAGAAACACATAAATATTATGAGCCCTGAAAAGGGACTAGATAAATACATTATGAGCCCTCACGGGACAACTATACTTTTCACTTTACACTTCCTGGCCCCTTAGCGGGAAGGGGCCAAAGTTCTCTCTGACCTAAACTGTCGCGGGGAAAGAAAAAAAAAAGACAATGTATCTAGCTCCACAATTTGGAGGCTTATAGCACATGCGCATTATAAACGCGTGTTTTTATTAAAATTCTTTTTCTTAACATTCTACCATTGCTTTTGTTCCAAAACATTAATACCATTGGAATAATTTGATATTCATGTTCAAAAAAGGCTTTAACTGTTTTCAACGACCTGATGAAGATGAAAATAATTATCGTTGAAAGCACTTGTTGATCTAGCGACATTCATTCTTAATCTAACGCCTATATGTTAAGAAGTTTCTCCTATTGAGATGAGACCTTTAAACAGTATACAAGAACAGTAAATCACAAAACTTTAGCATCCTTGGTTCCAAAGCTTTGCCAAAGTAACCATTTTGCTAGACCAATCATAGTCTGTATAATATTAAGCAAAGAGAGAAAATATTGTCTTTTGTTTTTTTATAACAAACTGTTGATGAACCAATACCATAGATGTCACACAGCTTACACCAAAACAAAATTTTTTTTCAACAGCTTTACTTTATCTCGGATTCATATGGATTGGTGTTTACGTTTTACACCACAACAGACATATAATAGAGAGTGCTGTTCTCTTAGAAGCCATAGCTAATGTTAAATTTAAGCAAAATAAACTAATAATATCACACAATTGCAACATTGCTACCAACAGGTGCAGTGTAAATAATGCAAATAAACGTGTCCTTCACACAATGCCATCTATGGCCTCCCCATAAAGTGTTTTGAAGTCCTAGTCCGGTGTTGTGGGAATTTGAAGTGCGCTCTCATAAATTTTGTCCAGATTAAATGAGGTGCTGGATCATATTGAGATGCCATAAATTCAATGGTGTACCTCTGTGAAAGTGTGTGTGTGTGTGTGTGTGTGTGTGTGTGTGTGTGTGTGTGTGTAAAACATGATAAGACGACAAAAAAGATGAAATCGCTTTATTAGTCGAATGAGTTGACAAAGAACAGAATGCCCGTCATGGAGACACTTATATACAGATATAATTACAATATCTCCCCCTCTCATTCAATCTTCCCGCAGGAAATTTAACATATACATACAATCCTGATTAATACTAAGAAACCTATAATTAAACTTAAACCTAATACTATAACTACAAAAAAAGAAGAAAGGAAAGTTAGTTAGGAAATATACTGGTAGTTAGAACTATGGGTCCTGAATTGGGTGAATATCAACAGTTCTCACTTCGTGCATGGTGAATGTATGATCTGTTCTATCCAAAGGGGGGCAAAGAAGTTATTATTGAACATGTACTGAGGTAACTCTCCAGAACAACTATCCCAATTACTTCTTTATCTCTGTTCCTATCTTGTCTATCTTGGCCCTTTCTCTCTTTTGCCTTCTGCCTTATACACTGTCTTCCGGTCACTCTCGCATGACCTCTCTCTCTCGTGGAGAACCCAAAAGTGTCATTTCTCCTCACCAGTGGCGTATCGTGGGTGTCAGCCGTCCGGGGCGGAGGAAAATTTCGCCCCCCTTATTTAGGTATTTCAATTTAAAAGACAAAAATTCAGTTTTGTCACAGAACAAGCAATGAAAAATTCGGTGGTAGTGCAGCGACCTGTTTAAAATAGTTCTATTGGATATTAGTGGTGTATATGAACGCGAATGAATCGTACAAGCAAAAGAAAAAAAAAAAAGAAAAAAAAAAGGTCAACAGGTTTCGCAGGATTTCATCGAATAAAAAAGTTACTAGTTCGCCTGGATGGCGAGCCGATTCCTGGACTGTCCCGACGATAGCACTATCGTAGTCACGATGCAAGTATAGATTAGGATGTTTCAATTTTTACAACATATTATTATTATTTATTGTGAAATTTTGCTGCCCCGTAAAAAGTTCCGCCCGGAGCGGGCCGCCTCTGCCACCCCCACTACGGTACGCCACTGCTCCTCACCTCAGGCAGGACCCCTGTCTGAGGGGACTGTTAGACAGAGGGACTGTAGATTGGCCAATCAGGACCCACGAATATTACAGTTCCTGTCACGTGACAAGAAAGGGTTAAAAGCAGAAGGAAGAAGGATTATAGGAAAGAAGAAAGGAGTTCTTATTCTATATACAGTATAATTATACAACAAAATGGCAGATACCCACCCTCTACTAGTAATTGTCATACTTTCAATGGGCACTCAGGAGGTGCATGATATACAATGATTTGAATTATGCACATATTTTGTTTCCATCTAGGGGTTTGCTATGGGAGTATGTACCATCACAGTTATATACTTGAAGTTATGATAACAATTATACTTACAAGAAAATGCAAATAAATTTATTTGTAAATAAATATTTTTCAACAGAAATCATCTAAATATGTTCTGAATAACTAACATTATAAGAACATTTAAATAACATATTTTAATATAAAATCAAAAATATTCATAAGTTTATTAGTTTTTGTTTATTCTGTTTTTAGCTTTGGCTAACATTGTCTGATCGTCATATACAAACAAGAAAGATTGATTGGCGAACAACAAAACGTTTTTGTTTTAATGAAAAAAGCAATCCTGATGACAACAAACTTGGTACACAGATAGTTAAGGTAAGTATTGTTTTTTATATAATAAAATATAATAGGAAACAAAAGTTTTTATCTTATACATATTTAAAAATAATTTAAATAAGAGAGTTCACAAATTTCAATACCTTATGAGTTGAACTAAAATACTATGTTGAGAGAAGGGGAAATAAGTCCTTGCATCAATTCAGTTCTGAGAAGCAAGGCAAACTGATAAATGTTGAGAAATTCAAAGATGAAATCCAAATGTCCCTGCAGACAGAGATATCACACAGGCACAGATCTTAAACAGCTGAAGAACAGGCAATGACTGACTGAAATTGGCTGTTCTTTGTTATATTAAATCAGCAACTACTTTTTAGACAGAAAAAAAGGTCGCAGGAAAATTGCTGCTGATAAGGCCATCCTCATTGCTTCTTTTTTTCTTCTTGTTTGATTCTCACAGTTATCTTGAAAATTATAAGAATAAATTTTTTTGTTACAGCAGAATGGCACAAAACTAACTGCTAATTTCAAATTTCTAAATACTCCCAAATTTTAATGATAAATATAAAATTATTACTAAACTTTTAAGAAAAGATCTGTTGCTTAGATTAACTTGTTAATTAAATATGGGACACTTCTGTGTTGCGGCGTTATTGATGCTGCAACATGGAAGTGTCCTATATTTAATTTCTAAACGCTGGCGTGAAGTGAACTATATTTTCATTAACTTGTTAATGAACCACGTTTGTCTTAAATGTATTTAAAAATTTGTTTCAGTTATTTAAAATATTTTTATCACTGGCATTACAAAATAATCATAATTAGATTTGTTCAAACAGTAAGTGAAAAATATTAATTGTGTTTTTATTTTTTAAATAAAAACACAATTAATATTTTTCACATAATATTTTTCACATTTTTCACATTTTTTAATATAAAAACACAATTAATATTAATATTATTAAAACTCTTTTAAAATAAAAGTTCACAAATTTGCATATTGATTTTCATTCTTTATTAAAAGGTTTCTTTAACATTATAGAAAAATTCATTAATTTATTTTGAAACATAAGTAGTAAATAAACTATTTTTATTAATTATATTTGTAGGATTTGCATAGAACAGGCTGCAGCATGTTTAGTGGTGATGATGCTGAACATAATCAAGCATTATTAAAAAGAGTTCTTTTAGCATATGCACGTTGGAATAAAAATGTTGGATATTGTCAGGGATTCAATATGCTAGCAGCCATTATTTTGGAAGTTATGGAATGGCAAGAGGAAGATGCCCTTAAAGTAACTTTTGCAATCATTAAATTTTCAAATTACATACAAAAATTTTAACTATTCATTATCTTTCTTTAGGTTATGTTATTTTTAATAGAAGGTGTATTACCTGAAAGTTATTTTGCAAATCATCTTCGTGGATTATCAGTTGACATGGCAGTCTTCAGAGATTTATTAGCTCTCCGTTTGTATAGTCTTTCAAATCATCTTGATAGGCTTCAGTCAGAAGCTAGAGATAGCACAACTGGTAAGTAGTAATATTTTCTATTGATTTCTATTGTTCTATTACAAAGAAAAGATAAATTTTTTATATAGCACATTGCAAAAAATTATTTATTAATAATGAAATAAATATAAATATAATATAATATTATATTTATTTCATTATTAATAAATAATTTTTTGCAATGTGCTATATAAAAAATTTATATACCTAATTATTATAAATATAATATTATATTTATATAACTATTTGGCTCATTATCTATACTAATATTATAAAGAGGTAAAGTTTGTACGTTTGGATGTAGGAAGTAATCTCCAAAACTACTCATCTGATTTCAAAAATTCTTTCACCAATATTTAGAATGGACTGCCAGGATGGACATAGGCTGTATATTATTCCGTTAAACATTCATATAAATTAAAAAATATCATCTAACTGATACTGTTATAGTCACAAACTGAATTCCATGCAGGTGAAACTGCAGGCACAGCTAGTTATATATATAAAATAATATAATTAGGTATGTCAAAGGACATGGGTGCAAGTCAAATGAGGGGCTCATCTGAACAAAATAATTTTATAACAATGATAATAATTACAATTTTATACATTATCAATACTTAAAATAATTGAAAAATACTAATAATAATATAATCACATAGGTGAAATTATATCAACTTATGCCCGAGGTTATGCTTATGTTTCCTCTAAATCTAAGTATGTATTTTTAAGTAATGCATACATAGATTTATAGAATAAGGCAACTCACTACATGGGCAATCTGGCAAGAGAAAATGCCACCCAAGACTATTTTCTACAGGAAACTGGCTCTATTTAGGTGTTCAACACATGAAGAAAACCCATAAAAATCCAATTGGTCAAGGGCAAACCTGCAACCAAATACTAGTGTTCAGTGGTTTATTAAAATTTGTCAAAAAGCTTTGAGCTAGAAGGAAATGGCAAATGATCTATTTTTGAAACAAATAGAACAAAAAAGTTAAAAGACATTTTGACAAACTTTCTAAAGATGAAACAATTACAGACTATAAAAGTTGTTATAAAATAAATATTTATTATGCATTATTAGATATAATAATTTTAAGTGAAATTCACAATCATTTCAAAAGATAAAATGAAATTGTTCTTGTAAAGTATTGACCTTTTAGCAGAGTGGGAACAAAAGAGGCACAATCTTGTCAATTGGACTCACGTGCGGTCGAGTAATACCACTTGTAAACAGAGGGAAAACAAAGGAAGCGCCAGCTTTGTCAATTGGACCCACCTGTAGTCAGACGTTAAACCATTTGCCATATGGTAAACAACTGAATGTAAACAAGTGGCGGACGTTTATGTAAGCTTCACTTTCGTTGGATGACGGCGGACCTGAGTGTAAGCTGTTTGGGCAAGAAGGGGTTGTGATTGGTCGGAAGTCCCCATCCAAAAAACCCTTAAATTGCGGGGCAAACAAGAGAGGAGGAGAGAAGGGCAAGAGACTGGTACACGGTAGTCTCAGGCACTTAGGAATCCCACTGAGCGTAGAGAGAGTGTTCTCCTCTGGTAAACATCTCAGGAACGGGTTATTGCGGAGACTGGATGGACCGCGTAGTTGAGCCAACTCCACAAGCTGACTGAGGCTTCTCCAAAGTTTAACAGTTCCCGGAAACCAATCTAGTATGTGAGTCACCACACATTGTTATCGTATATATATTATGTTTTCGAACTTGTACTTCTACATATAGAATCTGTAAATAAACTGTAAATATTATCAATTTGAGTGTGGAGGTATGCTTTCCATCGAACCTGGATCACTACATCAAATCATGATACACACACAGAAACCAACTCAACGAGATGGAGTTGGGAAAGAACTTCACTAAGATCTTCACTGTTCTTATAATACATTGAAACTGTTATTAACTAACGTTTTCAACTGTCTTTAATAGCCATTGTCAGGTTATAGAATATTACACAGAACAAAATTCAAAAAACAAAATTTAAATAAAATGGAACTCCTTAAATTTATACTGGTAATTGCATGTGTAGAAGAATGGTAAAGAAAAATAAAATTAAATTAAAGTAGAAAACAATAAAACGGATTAAATAAAGTACATATAAATAAAACTCAAAAATAACTAAAAATATAAATGTTCATGCAAACACCCGTATGAATTTAAGGAATTCCATTTTATTAAAAATTTTTTTTTTTTTAATTTTGCTCTATGTAATATTTTACAATGTGACAATGGTTGTTAAAGACAGTTGAAAACATTTGTTATAATAGATTGGTTCCTTTTAACTGGATTATAGGTGTTAGTTTATGCTTTCAATAATATTTTCTTCCACATTTCTGAAAACATTGCTCTTTTCACCTGAAAATGAATTAATTGAACAAGCATAAGCTTTTCTCCAGAATTATAGTACTGATTTTACAGAGTAGCTTATTTTAGTTATGTATAGGATGATCATAATTAAAGAGTAAGTGTTCAGAGGTCTGAGTAGAAAGAACTATTGAGTAACTCAACATCAAATTTAATGTCCATACTATTTTGAGTACAGTTTTCTTTGAAAATCAAAACTGCATACTCTAAATTTTCAGCCACTGTGTTCACCATAGTGGCTGAAAATTTAGAGTTCTGCAAAACACAAAACTTTTCCTAATATTTCCAATAGTCAGAGAACTTCATAAATTTTTTAAGCACCAAATTCCTTAGGTGCTGAGTTGGCAATGGTGTTTCAGTTAGATGAGTTAAACAAATAACACACAATCAAAGTGAGCAGTGTGATTCATCTGTCAAAGAAACGGCAAGTGAACCATGAGGAATTTTGGGTGTTAAAGAGGTTGAAAAACATTTTGCAACTCCTTTAACTAGCCAAAATTTTTCACTGGAAAATGTACATAATATACAAATTAAAATGACATAAGTGCCAAATTTATTATTAAACATATTTGTTGATGCCAAAATCAGAAAATTATGATAAGAGAGACAAAACCTTTCACACTTTGTTTCTAGCAGTTTTAATCTATAAGAACAAACATTTTCGGGCATTTTGAATGGCCTTCTTCAGGTACAATAAGGTCAGTTGGAAAAAACCTTTCACACTTTGCTAGAAACGAAGCGTGAAAGGTTTTCTCTCTCTTATTTTAAGTACTTCTAGCTTTGTGTGCATGAAATCAGAAAATTACACTTCAAATATCAATAAATTAAAAATGAAATTTAATTTTTATGTTAATAATTATTTCAATCAGCATGATGACATGGGTACCAAAAAGCTAGTTACGCTATTGTGTATATATCTTATAACTGGAAATTGTTTATAATAATAATAACTACTGGTTATACTTGTGATCTTGCCCACATTACCAAATTAAATTTATAAAAACTATCAAATAAAATGTTGGATAATGCAAAATTTCATTTCATTGATTAATGAAAACATTGATCAAACTGTGGAAATTTTTTAAATGATATTCTATCATTTAATTGCAAAAATGAATTGAATGCATACAGTATGGAATCAAAGCCTTCTGTTTATTGTAGTCTTGCACTACGCACTGTGACTGCATGCATTTTGCATCCCTCACATAACCGATGATGTCTTCTTCCTGCATATGAATCATCTTTCTACTGAATTGGGTGTTCACTGCTTAAGTTTTGCACACCAATGTATTTACAACCAATAAATCATCGTACAAACTTAAACCAAAAAATATTCTGTAACAATGTACATTTAAATCAGTAACTGATTCCAGAAGCTTAAATGAAAAATAATAAATTTTTTTGTGATTCATAAGATGGTGAAGAGATTTTAAACTTTGAAACTTACTATTATAATTACTTAAACTTAAATATACTTTCTGCAGAAAAATAAGTTTAATATAGTTAAAAAGGAAATTTAATTGAAAAAAATAAATAAAAATTTTTGTATCTATTCTCNTGAACTATAAAAGTTAGTTATCTTCCTGAATTTTTAGTTTTAAATCCTAGTCTTCTTCAGTTGTCAAAGAAAGATGATTAAAATTGTATATGGTTTATGAAGAGATTTAAATAATGAAAACAACTCAAAATTTTTATAAAGTAACAAACATCTTTGTTGTAGCTCATTTGTTATTATGAAGACATTTATTTTCCAAAAATATTGAATAGATTAAAATGTTTAAAACTCTCTTGGAGGATGACTGTTATCTTTAAAATTTATTTTTACTCCAAGATTAATTCACCTTTTGATGTAAATACAGTGGGTGATCGGTTAATGAACATAATCTGTTCCAAGACAATGTTTGCTACCCGAATTGTTTATTTACCGATTATTGATTTACCATAGATTTTTATGGGAATTTGATTAATTGTTTCTGGAGACCCAAAAAAATAAATAAAAAATTATATACTTTCTTACTATATTTATTTATATCTATATCTATATATATATATATATATATATATATAAAAATGGACATGTATGTCCCTACATCTCACTTTTTCGCCAAAACTACACATCGCACGTGAATGGTGTTTGTATGTGGTGGTAGCCCCAAGTCTCCATTCGTGCATAGGGGTGGTTGCGTCTCGATAGCTATAAGGGTGCGGGAGATATGAGGCTGAAAGTGGTTGAAAGTGGCTTTCTATTTCGAATGTTTTGTTCGATTTTTTCGAATTTGTTCGAATTAAATTCGAACATAAAATTCGAATTGGTTCGATTATAGAACGATTGAAAACGTTCCAGAAACGTTGAAATTTGTTCGTTTGACTAAACGTAAAAATTCTCTAATTAGTCTGGAAACGGGGGACCTAATTCTTGCATTCTGTGAAAACGGGTAAGATTAGCTATAATGTAATTATCTTAATCTTCACTATCGTTACTTTTTGCCCAGCGAAGCAGGTCCTTGCAGCTAGATTCTAGATTACTTAGAAAAACAGTCTTTTATATATATAAAAAAACTATATTACATACAAATAAAAACCCAGCGAAGCGGGTCCTTGCAGCTAGTGTAATAATAAAAATACATATATACACAGTCTTGCATTTTTATCAGTGATGTTTTTTTTTTTCGTTTGTGGGGCACTAAAGAATTTGTCCAATGCTGATTAAATTTTCTCTCTTCTTCAGAATTTTCAGAAGTATTGGTAATTAATAGCATTGTTGTTGTAGAGATTCCCAAGCCTTTTAACCTCAACCTGGCTTGGATGCCATTTCTAAGACCAATGTTCTGATATATTCACACTTCTTCAAAATATCTTTAATAGCAGATGTTGGCATTGGTCCTTTTTCATCTTCCTCTTTTTCAGAAAAAGACATCTCGCCAAGTTTATTGGTGTTCTTCATTCAAGAGTTCTTGGCATTCTTCTGTCATCAGATCAGTTTCAGGTTCCATTATGAGCTTTTCAATGTTCTTTGTTTCTCAGATGTGATTTTTATTACTTCTTTAGCTGCTTGAGTCTTCTTAATTATATCTTTCTTAGCTAATATTGTGCCTACTGTAGACCTGTGCAAGTCATACTGCCTAGCAACATCAGACATCTGCCCATTCTATTATATTGTCACCTTTCAAAAATAAAAACCAACACAAAACTTAACGAGTGTCTGACAGTCTCGCAAAGACTAAAAAATTATTTGTCAGAAAGGTAAACAAAAAACTGGAATTACAAAGGAGAGGTTTAAAGTTCAGAGGAATACTGTACTATCCAATTGGTATTGGGTTGAGCGTCGATGTTCATGTCTCCCATGCTTCGAAAGGTTTCGAATTGTTACCTGAAGACAAGGGAAAATCAATCTGTATTCGTTACTTTACATCATTTCTTTTTATGTTTATTCTGTGGCTGTCAGCCATAATATTGTACAAGTCTTTAATTTTATATTAATTTTATTTTAATACTCTGCTTTCTCTTGTTTTCTAAACCTTTCTTGGAATCTTCACTCTAAACCATTATTGCCCTTGGATGGGATTAGTCATTCTTGGACATTCGATAGAACTAAAGAGTTGAAGATGCTTGTGGCAAAACAGCCAGTGTAATGAGGACACTTTTCAGCAAGATCTTAGAGAAGACGGGTGTGTAAGGCAGGGCTCTAAACCGGAGAAGAACAAGAGAAGAGACTGCGAACCCAGAGAGATTGAAAAGAGAGATCAACAGGTAAGAGAGTCTTGAAGACACCTTAAAAGACTCAAAAGTTTTGAGACCTTGAGAATAGGTACGACATTCGTAAAGCTAAAGAACGAAATGTTAAGTTGACATCCTACCCAAGAGAGCACACCAAGAAAAGAAATCCCGGGTATTTCAATTATTCCCTACTTCCCTTGTTTTTTTTCCTCTTTCCTATATTCTCAATTTCCTTAAATTTAAGTTAGACATAAGTTAACTGTAAGTTTCTCAAGAGCAGGTGTATTAATAGTTACACACGGTGCCTTTTGATACTGTTAAAAGGTGCAAAGATAACCCTGTTTGCATATACTATTGTAACCAGATTTGTAAAGTTGGGATCACTTGTAAAAACCTGTTCAGGGAGAATAAAGAGTACTTTGTGGACAAAGCACCTTAGTGTTTCTTGTTGTACCGTCTCGTGCATCATACTGTCTCTCATAGTGAACATCACAGTTCTGTGAAATGTTCATTATCCAAACATGTGTTCATTGTCTGATTTGTTTGCAGTCCAAACTGTTCATTAACCAATCACCCACTGTATTTATCTTTGCTCTTTTAATAACAGATTTATGCTAAATAATTTATTTTTAGTTCACTAAAATCATAAATTTCTTTTAACTTACAGGTACCAGTTATGAGCCTCCTTTAACAAATGTTTTTACAATGCAGTGGTTCTTGACACTATTTTCAAATTGTTTGCCAAAATCAACAGTTTTAAGAGTATGGGATTTGATATTCTTAGAAGGAAATGAAGTATTACTTAGAACTGCATTGGCAATATGGGATGGATTAGCAGAGTATGTAGTTATGAATTTTATTTTATTTTATTTTTTTAAGTTAAAATAGTTAATATAATAACTGTATATTGGTCTCGAGAATCTTGATATAATATTAATAGATATAATAAATTGCTATTAAGATATTAAATTATGATAATTAATGAAACTTAAATCCTTTTCTTTCACTGATTTCTGTTTGTTTCCTTGTACATTTATTAAAACTTATTTAATAGTTATTCTCGGAAGTCACACTCAATAATATGTATTCTTTCATGCAGGGAGGATATGTTAGACTTAATGTTGCTTGTTGGAGATTAGTAAAAACTGGTTAGACTCACATAACTGGTTATGTAACAAATAAACAAAGAATACACAAAGATTACACTGTCTTTACTCAGGTCAGTACTGAAAAAACAGAAGAGGAGAAAAAAGATTACACCGTCACCAATGGCTCCCTGAGGTGTCAACAGCGCCACCAACCTTTTATTACACAACGGAAAAGTTTTACAAAACATCACCGCAACACAATGCATTGTACATAACAGTGTCATATAGCATTTAACAATAATTTCAATCATCATTCCAAGAGGATATGCATTTCAAGCATTTTTTGCTCCTCTTCAATCCACTCTTTTAAAGTTACCATATATAGGAACTTGGATTGGATTGAATTGAATGGATTGAATTGACAGGCAAAAAATTTACTAACCATTAATTGCTATTTAGTATAGTTTTTTGAAACATATCACTTTCAACTAACTCATCACTTTTATTACTAAATCACAGTTGTCAGTTAAAAGTTAAATGTAAATTAATGACCCTGAGGTGATTTAAATTTTTAAATGTCTAATTGAATAAACATCAACACAAGAGAAGTGACTAATTAAGAAGAAAAAAGAAAAGGAGGGTTAGGAAAGAATTACATACAAAAATATAACAGTAACAGAATCAATATGTTTTCAGTTTTTGTTTGTTTTTAAATTCCTTACTTGCTATTTAACAGAACTTTTTAATAGCAGGTGAAATAAGTGCTGTTCAGTAACTGCTCAAAATCATATGCATAGCAGGCATTGGCTCTTCCCAAAGTCATCCTGGATAGAAGTCTCATGATATCTTGTGTGTCTTAAAATCCAAAAATCAAAGGAGCTGAGAGTTACTGACAATGGATCCTTTTAATAAAACTAGGAGTATTTTTTCATAAGCTTCTTCAAGGTGCTTGAAATTAAAAGGGTTTTTTTTTTTTTTTGATAATCTTTCACATCCAGTTTTTATACTGGTTTTTGATTTCAGTTGCTGCTTTTATCAAGTTTACCCAATTTTGAGTGGTTGTTTTATATTCATTCAATATGCTTTGATATACCCTTGTGGTAAACTTCTTTCTGGAGAATGACTAATACTTCTGTTTTATTTTTTCAAATTTTAACATTTAAGCATTTAAACATTTTCATTTTAATATATAGATTGAATATATATACAGTCAAACCTGTCTATAACAGAACCTCAAAAGACTGAACAAATCTTCCTTAGTAGACAGGTTTCTGTTATAGGTATTCCTTGATCAATGTGATTAATAAATTTCTTGATGTTACTGCATATATCAAAATCATGTTAAATCAAATAGTGGTATCTCAGTACTTGACCGAACAATCACCACTCTCTAGAACAAATTCTCAGTTAATAACAAATATTTTTATTTTAATTTTGATTTTAAATAAATAAAATACTTTCTTACTGGAACTACACTATAAATAAAGTAAAAACCTTTAAACAATCCAGCAAATCGTTTTTTAATATCTTAAAAACACTTTCGAACGCTTTAAGCGATCATCCTCAGTTATCATTTTGAATCGAATGAAGAATTCGAAATTACGTAAAACAAAATTCAAAAAGCGTTACATAAATGTACGTTAACATTTACCAAGTTTAAATAATTGCAAAAATTATACAAGTTAATTAAATCAAAACAAAGAAATAAAATAAAATATATACATTCAGTAAAAATTATCTTAATTATTCTTCCCGCTTACATAAACTACGTCAACTCATCGTAGAAGGATTTCCATGTCGATGACAATCCGTCAGCATCCCTATGATTAATACAGTTTGTGTGCAACTGCGCCTTATGAATTTCTAGTTTCTCCAGATGTTTTATGGCCTGCCTGGATCTTGTAGCTTTAATGATCGACGCCCGATCCCAAAAGACCTCGATATTCTGTTGCTTGGCAAAGGCAGCAAGCACCGTAGAGTCTACGTTTTTATTTACCGAGTGCTTATGTTCAGCAATTCTTTTCTTTAAGTTTCTCATGGTTGCTCCTATGTATACCAAATTAGAATTAAATCTACGGTCTTTTAACGGTATTGAGTATACCCCTGCCATCGTGTTGCGTTCGTAACTGCCTTTATCGTTCCTTAAGAGCCTGTATACGGTGGGATTACGCTTGTAAACTATCTGTATGTTCTTATCTCTGGTAATTTTTTTAACCATTCCTTTGAGGAACGGTATGTAATTAAGCACGACTCTTTCTTTACGCTGATTCCCTCCCTGAGAGGGGTGGCGCTTCCGACAATTCGCAATGAGAGCATCTATTCTTTCTCTACGGTATCCCTGCTGTATCGCTACGTTTCGTATATAATCCAATTCTTTGTACGTGTCGCAGATGCTGGTGCAATGCGTGTGTGCCCTCATTATCCATGAACGAAAAACGGCGATTTTTATATACTCAGGGTCTGCGAAGGAATGACGATAGGAAGATAAGTGGGTTTCCAGTATATGTCTGTTCTGATTTCCCCGTCTTTGCAAGTTATAGATAAATCCAAAAAATTAACATTGTTTCCACTTTCCTGCTCTAGCTCCAGGGTTAATCCATATGGGTTGTCGTTGATCAGATTTATAAATTGGTTAACCCTGCGATTATCCTTCCATAAAATAAAGATATCATCCACATATCTTGCGTAAGCCACTTATTCTTCCTGGAACGAGGGGAGCATATCGTTTTCGAGTTTACGCAACACTAATTCGCAGAGTATAGCTGACATGGGGCTACCCATCGGTATGCCCTGTGCCTGCAAGTAAGTTTTATCTTCAAATTGGAAGAAAGATGTGTGGCAAATTAAATCTGCCAACTCCAAGATCTGCATGTGGTATTTCATCGAATTGCTAATTTTTGCTAACAAAAAGTCTCGGAGAGTGCAAAAGCAGGGAGGTAATTTAATTGCCGGGTACAGAGCTTTGTAATCCAATACTGTCATCCATTCATTATCCATAAGCATAACACTCTCCAACCTTCTGAGTACCGCCACCAAATTCTTTACCGAAAAAGGTGAGTCTTGCATATTTTTTTGTATAAACTTAACCAGTTGTTTCTCTATCTTGAATGTAGGTGTACTACACTTCTCCACAACCAGGTATAATTGTGTTCCTGGCTTATGCGTCTTTCTGAACACGAAAATTCTTGGTGTTCTTGGGGTATGCACAACAGCTCTCTCCATGTCTAGAAGACACGCCAAGGGAGTTAGCGTAAATCTCCTCACTCTTTGTTGCAAAGCTTCTAAAAAATTATTCGTTGCAATAAGAGGCTCTGTACTACTAATGTATTCATGCAATTTCTTTCTATATGAATCCCTCTTAATGAGCACCATACCCTTTGTTTTGTCTGCTTTTAAGAGTACAACATCATTCCTTCTGAGCCACTCTCTGGTTTCTTTTATACACCTTTGGAAATGTAACGCATTTTTGTTGTTTCGTTTCTCATACCCTGAGTATATAAAAATCGCTGTTTTTCGTTCATGGATAATGAGGGCACACACGCATTGCACCAGCATCTGTGACACATACAAAGAATTGGATTATATACGAAACGTAGCGATACAGCAGGGATACCGTAGAGAAAGAATAGATGCTCTCATTGCGAATTGTCGGAAGCGCCACCCCTCAGAGAGGGAATCAGCGTAAAGAAAGAGTCGTGCTTAATTACATACCGTTCCTCAAAGGAATGGTTAAAAAAATTACCAGAGATAAGAACATACAGATAGTTTACAAGCGTAATCCCACTGTAAACAGGCTCTTAAGGAACGATAAAGGCAGTTACGAACGCAACACGATGGCAGGGGTATACTCAATACCGTTAAAAGACCGTAGATTTAATTCTAATTTGCTATACATAGGAGCAACCATGAGAAACTTAAAGAAAAGAATTGCTGAACATAAGCACTCGGTAAATAAAAACGTAGACTCTACGGTGCTTGCTGCCTTTGTCAAGCAACAGAATATCGAGGTCTTTTGGGCGTCGATCATTAAAGCTACAAGATCCAGGCAGGCCATAAAACATCTGGAGAAACTAGAAATTCATAAGGCGCAGTTGCACACAAACTGTATTAATCATAGGGATGCTGACGGATTGTCATCGACATGGAAATCCTTCTACGATGAGTTGACGTAGTTTATGTAAGCGGGAAGAATAATTAAGATAATTTTTACTGAATGTATATATTTTATTTTATTTCTTTGTTTTGATTTAATTAACTTGTATAATTTTTGCAATTATTTAAACTTGGTAAATGTTAACGTACATTTATGTAACGCTTTTTGAATTTTGTTTTACGTAATTTCGAATTCTTCATTCGATTCAAAATGATAACTGAGGATGATCGCTTAAAGCGTTCGAAAGTGTTTTTAAGATATTAAAAAACGATTTGCTGGATTGTTTAAAGGTTTTGATTTTATTTAATTTTGATTTTTTCATTCATCCATAAAAATTTCTCCAAGATAAAAATGAGTAACCAATTTTAAAAATAAAATAAAACCTTACAGCTGCCTACCTTCATTAGGCAAAATTACATTCAATTCAGTTCATTTTTTTCATAAGTAAAAAAAATCTGCATGCAGAACACAATCATCAGCATGTTTTATAACCATTTCAAGTGGATGAAGTGTTTCAATAATACTTGTCTGTAACACTAAGATTTGTTTCAAATTCATGAGTTGTTATTCACCAATCTTTAACAATTTCTTTTTGCAA